GAGAGAGGAGGAGGGGTAGGGGAGGAAGAGAAGGAATAGGAGGAGGAGCAGGAGGAGGAGGAGGAGCAGGAGGAGGAACAGGAGGAGGAGGAGGAGGAGGAACACGAGGAGGAGGAGGAGGAACACAAGGAGGAGGAGGAGGAGCAGGAGCAGGCAGAGGAGGAACACGAGGAGGAGGAGGAGGAACATGAGGAGGAGCAGGAGGAGGAGGAGGAGCAGGAGGAGGATGAGGAGGAGCAGGAGGAGCAGAAGAAGGATGAGGAGGAGGAGGAGCAGGAGGAGGAGGAGGAGGAACACGAGGAGGAGGAGGAGGAGGAACACGAGGAGGAGGAGCAGGAGGAGGAGGAGGAACACGAGGCGGAGGAGGAGGAGGAGACACCCTTGTTTGCAGCACAGTATTAGAGGCCAGGGCTGATTCCTTCCAGACGCACCACCTCCACCTTGTACCCGATTAAAAAGATGTTGATGAAGTGAAGGTTGTAGTCTCATATTCTTTTATAAACAAAAAGCAAGATCTTCAAGATTTGAGAATTTATTTATTGCCATTCCTGGGGCTTGAACTCAGGGCCTGGGCACTGTCCCTAGCTTCTTTTGCTCAAGGCTAGCGCTCTACCACTTGAGCCACAGCACCACTTCTGGCTTTTTCTGTGTGTGTGGTACTGAGGAATCGAACCCAGGGCTTCATGCATGCTAGGCAAGCAGTCTACCACTGAGCCACAACTAGAAGCTAATCATTGACTGGAAGTGTCTTTCAGGCCACTCTGCCCAACCCTTTAGGGATGGAGTTTCTGCTCTCAGACAAGATCTACTAGCCCTTTGAGATGCACAGGCTCATGTAAATATGGGGGCTTCCATGCTTGAATTCATGCTTTTTCTCCCAGAAGACTGACTTAAGAAGGTTGCCAAATAGACTGAAATTAGATTTTATTTAAAAATTTAATAGGATGCACGCACACGCACGCACACACACATTCACAGATTTAATAGGATGCACGCACACGCACGCACACACACATTCACAGATTTAATAGGATGCATGCACACTCATGCACACACACACTCACAGACAATAGGATGCACGCACACTCTCACACACACATTCACAGACAATAGGATGCATGCACACTCTCGCACACACACTTTCACAGGCTGTTTTCAAGCACGTAGAGCCAGCTGAGCAGACACGGAGGCGTTGGTTAAGCGTGGGTTCTGCTGTCCTGCTGGGCAGGCAGCCTGTGGGGACCCAGAACCTTCGTTTGCATGAGGCTCCGCTCGCAGCCCGCCCCCCAGGGACACTCCAGGGTTTCAGAACCGGCCGCCAGGAGCTCTTAGGTCCCAGTGGCACCGTTAGCATTCATCCACTCTCTGGACGCAGCTGGCCTGTGGCAGCCATCGTGGGCAGCTTTCCCCAGAAACAACTCAGACTCAGGGCAGAGTTTATAGAATGCCCTCGGCTGTAGCAAGGGCACCGTCGCCCAGGTTGAGTCGAGGGACCCTGGCGGTCAGCCCCACAGTGTCTCTCAGTGCTTCGTCTCTAGCCACAGTGAAGAAGCGGGCACTTCAGCGTGTGGTGAAATGAACGGCATCTCAGTAGCTACTGATGTGGGTCTGGAGTTTCACAGAGCCTTAGAAGGAGTGAGCTAGGGCCCTGGACACGTCGTGACAGTTGAGGGATTGGTCTGAGGCCAGAGTCTGGCCGGAAGAGGGCCTGGGGCAGAGTGCGTGACTGACTGGAGAGACAGTGTGCCAGGCAGAAAAGCTTGAAGATGGCCCAGAACGGGCCAGTCTGGCATGCTGCTGGGTGCTGGGGACCCTGAGCACCACCCGAGATCTCTAGCCCAGGTTTCACCGTCTTCCAGACCTGCTACATTGCAGGCAGCGTTGCTCACAGTAAGTTTCAGAGGAGAAATAGGTTCACTGGGGGTCATAATGCATTCTGCTGAGCTCGGCTTCATAGCCTATGACATCCAGTGTCTGAATCAGTTTACCTGAGCACCTACACATAAACTGCATGACAAGCCAGCCTTAGAGTATGTCGGCTTTCTGTAAGTAGAGAAGTGCCGTGTACAGTGCTGAATGCCTGAAGTCACGTCCGTGGGGCAACCTGGAACTGCAGCATGCTGTGCATCGCATCGCATGCAGCAATGCCCAGACGCTCCCTGAAAACGGAAATGGCATCCAGATTTGGAAATTAGCACGGACGGTTGGTTTTCTTCAGTTCATTCAGCTGGCACGTGTTCTGCCAATATCTCCACATTGGCGGTGTATACCTATAACTTGACTTCTTGTGGGATTCTATTTCGAGTAGGTTAAACAGAGAGTGTAGAGAGCATTTTGTCTTATGGTGGGGAAATGTGAGGTTTGCACACACTTACGGAGAGGAGGAGGCACTGGAGCTGGTGCCTTGGACATGTGCATCCGTCTCTTGCCCCGTTGTAGTCTGGGGGCGTCTTGGTAACTGAAGTGCACTCTGGGCGCAGGGGCGGTGTGTGGGCGCCGGTGCTCACTGCCCTGTCCCCTCTTGTGTGATGGTGCGCTGTCTCTTCACTTTGGCAGGTGCATCTTCTGAGAAACGCTGGAGACGAGGTCACCATCACTGTGGCCTATCTCAGGGACGCCCCTTCGTTCCTGAAACTCCCGCTAGGTGAGTGAGAAGGGGGGCCGGCTGTCCCTGGCGCTCCTGCCCCCGCCGCATCATTCGCGCGACACGCCATGGCGCGGGCCTGAGCTGTGTGCGGGCACAGCAGCCTGTCTTCCTTAAGCTTTCTCCACTCCAGCGTCCTCACAGGATTCAACAGAGCACGATCAGATTGTGGCCTGTCAGTTAGCTGAGTCTGTGTTCCCCTTTAATGTACTGACAGCAACTCTGTGTGTGCATGCATGAATGTGCGTGCGCGTGCACACGCACACATTTAAAACACCTGCATAGATTTACCTAAGAATTTTTAATTCAGGCTGTGGAGTACGTGCTGGGACGCAGACCTGTCATCCTCTAGGAATGTGATAAACCCTGTTGTTCCATGTGTTGAGCAGAAAGTAAGGGATCTTTTAAAGTGAGGCCTCTGTAGGCCTTTCCTTCCTTCTCTTAGGGATGGAGCAGCTGTCCTGGGCAGAGGGAGAGGTTTCTGGAGCAACTGTTCTTTGTGCTGTGGAGGTAGAATAATTAAGTGTGAACAGGAGCATTTCACGCCTTATGGCCGAATGGAACACCTGCCTTAAACGGCAGGTGCAGCATTTTCCTGCCCTATCAGACGGCTGTGGACGCTGGAGCCTCAGCCGGTGTGGGCTCATTGGCTGGGTGCTCACTGCTGAGTGTCTGTGAGCACCGTCTCCAGCTGGATCGGACCCAAACGGGTGGCTAGAATGTGCATGCACATTAGGAGGAGGGGCATTGGAAGGGACTCGGGTGTCGACCATGAGGTCTGTGTCCCCACGCCGCAGGGACCAGCTGTGTCCTCAGGAATTCAAACATCCCCTGTGCTGCAATTTGTTTAAAACCCACCAATATTAAGATCTTCCTACCCGTGCCAATTGAAACAGTCAGGCCACCGTCAGGTAAAATGTCCTCTTGTGGGAAAGTACCCCGTGAAGCAGCACAGCTTCTGCCCGGGCTGCCCTGTGGGTGGGTGGTTTGTGTGAGGCAGACGTTCACCTGGCTCCAACTGGCTCCAGCTGGGGATGTAGCAGAGAGTCCTGACAGATGCGTAAGGAAGATTTCCAGCCGCAGCACTGGATTTAAATGAAGGGCATTGGGGCGGAAGGAAGTTCTGGCTATCTTTTTGTGAAGCTGCAGTTCGTGTCACATGCACTTACTTGTTGAATGTGACACCTCTCAGTTTCAGTATCTCACCACGCTCCGCAGCCATCACCGGTGACTAACTTCACAACCTTCCCATTGCCACCAAGCTAGCCCCTGTCAGGCGTCGGTGGTCTCTGCCCAGCCGCCGGCAGCTCTGCTCCCCTTCCCCGGGCCTGCCTTCTACGGGCATGTTACCAGACGTAATCGTGCAAATGTGTCCTGTGTCTGGCCTCCACCAGCGCAGCATCCTCAGGGCTCATCATTCGTAGCAAGCCCCAACACCGTGTTACTTTTGTCTGACAGCATTCCTTTATATGGTCACACAACGTTTTGTTTATCCACTCGTCGGCTTTGTTTCTATTTCTGGGCTGCAATGATGTTGTGAACATTCCTTTAGCGAGTTTTGTTTAAAAAACATCGTTCTTTGTTGATTCTCCCTAGCAGTGGGATCGCTGGTTACAGGGTACGCACCACTCTGGGAGTGGACTGGGGTTCTTCTCATTTCTGAAGGCACACTTGGTAGATCATGCTTCCAACGTGTTTTTTTAATTAATGTTTATTATAAATTATAGCTTGCAGTTTTTTGTGTCTATAACAACTATTTTGTTATGAGTAATTGTTAATACCTACCATTTGGGTTTTTGTGGTAATAAACAGAAGAAAGAGATTGTAACTGTTCAAATTTCCCTTTGTAGTTTAGAGAAAATATAGCAATCATCAAGAAATTAATGGATAGGAATCTAGTACTTTCTCGTAACTGCCTTTGTCCTGCGTCTGTGATGCTGCCTGTCCTGCATCTGTACACGCAGCGTGACCCTTGGGGTTTCAGGAAAGGGAAAGAGTTGAAAATGCTTTGATTGTACTCTCAAATTAGTGAGGGCTGATCATGGTCAGAGGCGGGAGGCTTTGGAAAGAGTTCTACATAGTGTCCTAAGGTGTGCGTGCAGATGCTTAAGGACAGGTGAGGTGCTGTTCAAACACAGTGCCGGTGGTGGAGAGCGATGAAGTCTGGAGCTGAAGTCCTCCCCAGACACGTGCCCCAGACACGTGCAGCATGTATAGACCTGGACAGGCAAAAGGGAGTCCAGGTGCTGACACCTGACACAAAGGGAAGACACTATTTTCAGGTGGGAACATGGTTCAGTGCTTTAAATGAAGATTAGAGCCACAGATTTGTGCACACTGGGAAGGACACCGAGATGGTCTGCCCAGGTGTGCTGCACAGCTTGAGGTCAGAGGTCAGAGGGAAATGGCCAGCCACAGAGGTGAATCAACACAGTGTGACAACTGCATGACATCTGCCTGAGGGGCATTGGGGAGGACGTCTCCTGTGGGCACTGGGGAGGACGTCTCCTGTGGGCATTGGGGAGGACGTCTCCTGTGGGCATTGTGGAGGACGTCTCCTGTGGGCATTGGGGAGGACGTCTCCTGTG